CAACATTTGAAAGAAATCGCCAAAGAATGTGCCGTCAAATTACTTTTGGATTGACAAGACTTTCCACATGTGTTGCAATTGTGTGATCTCTCTTCTGTATGAATCAAAGCATGTCGATTCAAATGTCCTTTGTGTGCAAATGATTTTCCACACGTGGTGCACTTATATAATTTCTCTCCTGTATGAAGATATGCATGTTCTTTTAAATATCCTTTGCGTGCAAAGGATTTTCCACATTTGGTGCACTTATATGGTTTCTCTTCTGTATGAATCAATGCATGTCGTTTCAAATCCCCTTTGTGTGCAAAGGATTTTCCACATTTGGTGCACTTATATGGTTTCTCTTCTGTATGAATCAATGCATGTCGTTTCAAATCCCCTTTGTGTGCAAAGGATTTTCTACACGTGGTACACTTATATGGCCTCTCTCCTGTATGATTCAATGCATGTTTTGCCAAATTTCCTTTGGTGGCAAATGATTTTCCACACGTGGTGCACTTGTATAATTTCTCTCCTGTATGAAGATATGCATGTTCTTTTAAATATCCTTTGCGTGCAAAGGATTTTCCACATTTGGTGCACTTATATGGTTTCTCTTCTGTATGAATCAATGCATGTCGTTTCAAATCCCCTTTGTGTGCAAAGGATTTTCTACACGTGGTACACTTATATGGCCTCTCTCCTGTATGATTCAATGCATGTTTTGCCAAATTTCCTTTGTGTGCAAATGATTTTCCACACGTGGTGCACTTATATAATTTCTCTCCTGTATGAAGATATGCATGTTCTTTTAAATATCCTTTGCGTGCAAAGGATTTTCCACATTTGGTGCACTTATATGGTTTCTCTTCTGTATGAATCAATGCATGTCGTTTCAAATCCCCTTTGTGTGCAAAGGATTTTCTACACGTGGTACACTTATATGGCCTCTCTCCTGTATGATTCAATGCATGTTTTGCCAAATTTCCTTTGGTGGCAAATGATTTTCCACACGTGGTGCACTTGTATAATTTATCTCCTGTATGAAGAAGTGCATGTTCTTTCAAATATCCTTTGCGTGCAAAGGATTTTCCACATTTGGTGCAATTATATGGTTTCTCCCCTGTATGAATCAAAATTGAAATGAAAATGGTATCTTGACAGATGATTTGCAGTGGCCTACTACGGAACTTGGCCCACTTGCTCTGGAGTAAGATTTTTGAAAATAACAAAGGAAGGTCATGTTCCCTTTAAACTAGATCACATCATCCTTTATGAGATACGTTGATAAAAATGTGCATGTTAACCTAACAGCCAATTTACAGTATTTGCTTTTCGGAAATGCAGCATTGCTACGTTATTATTTTTAAACTATTCTAGGAATACACCCCTCTGGCTTCCGAATTTTCATGCTATCCTTATGAATAAACTAATTATTGGAATTACAATAATTATAGTTGGTTCAAAAATTTAGGCTGTTTGATTTGTAATGGGGTTCCCTTATCCTTATATATAATACGTGAAGGCGCATTACACTATTCTTCCGTTGATAATGGACGGATTTTTACAAACGATGTGTTAAAATTAAGTTTTTTTTTCTGTAAAATCTTACCAATATCTGTAATAAAAGTCCTTGGGCTTTGCCCCACAGGCCATTAAAAATCCCAATGTATTTATTATGATGGAAAGATTTTGTTTACTTAAACAGACGAATAATTTGTATTAATTACAGCTGTTCTTAGTAAACAAATGATACACACAAGAGCTTTTGTTTTCAGTTTTGATAACTGGAGTGGAGTGATTGATTACATTATCTTTGAGTTGACTCTTTCAAGTCATCGGAAATCATGAATGTTATTCGTTTTGAAATATAATGCCTGTAATACTTTGCAATTGCTCGAATTTGAGCAACAGGGGCACTAGTTACTTTAAATGCTTTATCAATGTTGCAGCTGATTGGCGTTTGTAAAAATGATTGCTTATATTTACTTTTTGAATTCTGTTTCTATCAGCAGAAAGTAGAATTAATTAGTAGTAATTCTATAAAAACCCCTGCTGCAGCGAACCTGCAGGATAAGCGAATTTCTATTTACCTGCCTAGATGTCCACTTAGATACTCCCTTAAAATTTAAAGATTTATTTAGTATTTAATCCTATATCAGGCCCATGTTGAGTTTCTGGATTAAAAACATGGGATGATGTCATCGTACATAGTATCACAATGCCTAAAAGCGAATACAGTAGACTCCCTCTTATACGGACTCCTCGGGACCGAGGCCAGGCCGGATAACAATTTTTCCAGGTAAACCGACGTCCCCAAAAACTTGTTAAAACGGACCGTTTTCTGTGGTATTCGACTTAAATATAGGAGACTATTTTATTTAGACACGTGATCACTGGTCTCAAATCTTTCCCACGAGAACAGTTGTTTCAGTACCGCCTACTTCCTGCCGATCTAGTCCGGTTAAATCAATGTGCTGATCAAATTTTTTAGGTTAAAGAAATGTCATTTCCGCCGAGTGTAGTCCGGTTAAACTGATGTCCAGTTAAAAGGTGTCCGGATAAGAGAGAGTCTACCTGTACGTGCCTTAGTGCAAAATCTCATGTATCAGAAACCAATAACTACATTTTATTAATTATACCTACATTGCTGGGTTTTGCCTGTAACTACAGTTCTACAGATTGTTGGAAGTCGTATGATAGTAGATTGCGGGAGTCAGCTTTCAGCTTTTAGTCCTAGAATTTTAGGGAATAAAAAGCCATTCGACCTAACAAATTCGGACTAAGTGAAAACTTTGCACAGTTGTTAAGTAAGCCTAAATAAATAAAATATCAAAAGTCCCCATAAATCCCGGTTGTGCTTCAGCCGCCATCTTGGAAAATGGCAACCAATTTTCACTTTTTTTACAATATTTCACAAACTATTGGTATTAGAGAATTTTAGTAAATACAAAAGTTAAAGAACGTCTAAAAATACATCTTTTTTATATTTCAAGGTTTGCTCTATCTCTAACGGTTATTGAGATAAATAATAAAAGTTAGTATTAAATTTAAAATTCCCATGTTATTCTTATGGAGGAAAAAAATTGTTGCAGTTTGCTTATTTATCGATATATTTTGATTAAACTTGGCAAATTTATTTATTTCATACTAAGCTAATGATATTTAACATAAATACACGCTTTATTACTCTCCCCATAGCAGCAAACCTAGTACTCGTTAAATTTAAAGCTACCGTATTTAAATAGGAAATCTATCTCACATTTTTAGGAAGTAACTTAGTAGTGATCCAGTCAGGCAAATAGAAATTTATTTTTTGACATATTAACAATAGTTTTGCCTCATTAGTATTAAAGTTTAAAGCCCACTCACTATCTCTTCACTACTATGTAACTACTTACATGGTAGGCCTACTTATTACTCCCAGTATCATTATTTTGTCGTCGAATATTAGAAAATTCAACCTTAAAATCCGGACTAAATGCGGCTGAGGCACAGCCGGAATTTTTGGGGACTTTTGCCATTTTCATCAACTAGGCTTACTGTGCTTAACTGTGCAAAATTTCAATTTAGTCCAGATTTTAAGGTTCAATTACCTAATATTTACCGACAAAAAAATTATACCGGGAGTAATAAGGTACCATGTAAGTTTTGAGTAGTTACATAGTAGTAACAAGATAGTAAGTGGGCTTTAAATCATAATACTTATAAGAAAAAATGATTGTTAACATGATTAAAAAATGAATATCCATTTGCCTGACTGGGTTTTTACTAAAAATATATCATAACATGTAAATTATATTCCCTATTTAAATCACTTTAAATTTAACGAGTACTAGGTTTACTGCAATAGGGAGGGTACTAAAGTGTATATTTATGTTAAATATTAATAGCTTAGTATAATATAAATAAATTTGCCAAAGTTTGATAAAAATATATCCATAAATAAGCAAACAGCAACAATTTTATTTTCCTCCATTTAAGAATAACATGGGAATTTTAAATTTAATACTAAATTTTATTATTTATCTCAATAACCGTTAGAGATAGAGCAAACCTTGTAATATAATAAAGATGTATTTTTAGACGTTCTTTAACTTTTGTATTTATAAAAATTCTCTAATACCAATAGTTTGTGAAATATTTCCAAAAAAGTGAAAATTGGCCGCCATTTTCCAAGATGGCGGCTGAAGCACAGCCGGGATTTATGGGGACTTTAGATATTTTATTTATTTAGGCTTACTAAACAACTGTTTAAAGTTTCCACTTAGTCCGAATTTGTTAGGTCGATTTTCCTAATATTCTTCCACTATTTTATCAATGAATCGAAATCATTGAAGAGAGTTGTTCATCAATGGTGCTTGGTAAAAAAAATGTTTTTAAGACATACTGCAGAAATACAGTTATAACTGTCTGTATCCATTCTATTTTAAGTTAAGATAAGTTAATCTAAACTAACCTAACCAAACCTAACTCTCAATTTTTAAAATCCCATTAGTGTATCCTATGTTGTATACTTACACAGTGTTTATTCTGTATGAACTCTTGAATGTGCCTTCAAATTACTTTTGGATTGACAAGACTTTCCACATGTATTGCAATTGTGTGATCTCTCTTCAGTATGAATCAAAGCATGTCGATTCAAATGTCCTTTTTGTGCAAATGATTTTCCACACATGGTGCACTTATATGATTTCCCTCCTGTATGTATCAATGCATGTTTTTTCAAAGTCCCTTTGTGTGCAAAGAATTTTCCACATGTGGTGCACTTATATTGCCTCTCTCCTGTACGAACCAGTGGATGTACTTTTAAATTTTCTTTTTGTTTAAAGGATTTTCCATATGTGGTGCACTTATATGGTCTCTCTCCTGTATGAATCAATGCATGTTTTTTCAATGTCCCTTTGTTTGCAAAGAATTTTCCACATGTGGTGCACTTATATTGCCTCTCCCCTGTATGAACCAATGAATGTTCTTTTAAATTTCCTTTTTGTTTAAAAAATTTTCCACATGCGGTGCACTTATAATATGGTCTCTCTCCTGTATGAATCAATGCATGTTTTTTCAAATATCCTTTTTGTGCAAAGAATTTTCCACATGTGGTGCACTTATATTGCCTCTCTCCTGTACGAACCAATGCATGTACTTTTAAATTTTCTTTTTTTTTTGTTTAAAGGATTTTCCATATGTGGTGCACTTATATGGTCTCCCTCCTGTATGAATCAATGCATGTTTTTTCAAATGTCCTTTTTGTTTAAAGGATTTTCCACATGTGGTGCACTTATATGGTCTCTCTCCTGTATGTATCAATGCATGTTTTTTCAAAGTCCCTTTGTTTGCAAAGAATTTTCCGCATGTGGTGCACCTATATTTCCTCTCTCCTGTATGAACCAATGAATGTTCTTTTAAATTTCCTTTTTGTTTAAAGAATTTTCCACATGCGGTGCACTTATAATATGGTCTCTCTCCTGTATGAATCAATGCATGTTTTTTCAAATATCCTTTTTGTGCAAAGAATTTCCCACATGTGGTGCACTTATATGGTCTCTCTCCTGTATGAATCAATGCATGTTTTTTCATAGTCCCTTTGTGTGCAAAAAATTTTCCACATGTGGTGCACTTATATGGCTTCTCTCCTGTATGTATCAAAGCATGTTGTTTCAAATGTCCTTTGTGTGCAAAGGACTTTCCACATGTGGTGCACTTATATGGCTTCTCTCCTGTATGTATCAATGCATGTTGTTTCAAATATCCTTTTTGTGCAAAGAATTTTCCACATGTGGTGCACTTATATGGCTTCTCTCCTGTATGTATCAATGCATGTTGTTTCAAATGTCCTTTGTGTGCAAAGGACTTTCCACATGTGGTGCACTTATATGGCTTCCCTCCTTTATGTATCAATGCATGTTTTTTCAAAGTCCCTTTGTGTGCAAAGAATTTTCCACAAGTTGTGCACTTATTTGTGCTCTCTCCTGTATGTTTCAATGCATGTAGTTTTAAAGTCCCTTTTTGTGCAAAGGATTTGCCACACTTGTTGCACTTATATGGTCTTTCTCCTGTATGAATCAATGCATGTGTCCTTAGGGTGTATTTATTTGATAAGGATTTTCCACAGATGGTGCAATTGTAAAAAGAATACTTCCTAGAATGTTCTAACAAATGAATCTTTACATTACCTTGAGTGACAAAGGTTTTCTCACATAATAAACATTTAAAGGGACGCTCACCCGTGTGCAACAATATGTGATTCTTCATTGTTGCCTTCCTTGAACAGTTTTTTCCACATATTGGACACTTAAAAGGAAGCTCTTTAGTGTGATTTAACATTTGGAATTTCCGTCTTTGTAAAACTTATTAGATAAACAAGCAACTAATCAGTTGGCCCTTGTTGTCTATTTAAATATATCCTTTGTTTGTAGGAATAGTTATATTTCACAGTCAAGTGGATTTCAACCTCATAAAACTTCAAATCAAGTCTTGCTCAGATCTTGTATATGAATTACATATTTTGCAACATACTTGGGGTTTTATAATTTGGTTTCTCTTGCCTTTTACGTTCCATCATACCATGTATAATTCATAAACAAAATATCAGATTTTCATTGTGTTCACGCCTTTAGATATAATTGATATTTACTTTAAAGTCTAGATAAAGAGTAAATCACATACTTTCGTCAGTTGTTCACAGTGTAATAGCAACATTTCTCCTTTTTAAGAGTTGTTTTCAAATATGATATCCGAGATTATCTCAATTTGTTGTCTTGCAGTACACTGAGCTCTTCTTCTTTACGTCTGGATAGTCTATTGTAAGTTCTGAAAAAGATTATACTTTGTTAAACATATTTTTATCGATTTATTAAGGATACATAATCAACCCATTTTTATCTTATTATTAACCCTCCGAGTGTCATGTCCCATTTATTTGTCATGAATAAGTAGACATTTTTTAAACTAACTATGACGATTGCATTCATAAATCTCAAAACATATTGTAGGCTACAGCCATATCCCCCTAAGAGTTGTTTACAAACTTTCTAAAGCCATTATTAATGTCTATATCTGTACAAAAACCTCCCATTTTTCACCCGTTATTTGTCTTTGTCAAGTGCAAGTAGACATTAAAAAAAATCAAACTATGACAAATTTTATGGATTTCAAAACATAGGCCTACTGTAGATTAATAAAGTCATATCTCCTAAAAGCCATTTGGTGACTTTATAAAGCCATTTCTAACGTCTAGAACTGTGCCCAATTGTTCTAAAACCTTTCATTGCACCTGTTATGTCACGAAAAGCAAGAAGGTAGACACGTTTTTTAACCTTACGTTTTTCTCCATTTCATAGATGTGTCACAATGGTATAGTATCGAATTAAGTAATAGCATTGACTATATAAACTGGCTCAGCTAAAGCTAAACCGAGTTATGCGTACCATAAACGCATGGATGGCAGACCACGGTCTCTCGCTTGCTCTGAGCAAAACCGAGATTGTGATTTTGACAAAAAACGGATTGACACCATCGTGCCGTAGAGGGTGGGAGCCGTCGAGGATCAAACTGTTCGTTCTGCCCAGTATCTTGGGGTCATGGTAGACAGCAAGCTTAGCTGGCGGGATCAGATCTTCCGTACAGCGGACAAGGCCGCTAGGGTGGTTTCTTCTCTTAGCCTGTTGATGGCCAATGTCGGAGGGCCTCGGTCCAGTCGTAGAAGGCTGTTAATGTCTTCGGTCCAGTCCGTACTCTTGTACGGTGCGGAGGTGTGGGCAGACGCACTAAATAAGGAGGCATACAGGATGCGGCTCGCCCGAGTGCAGCGTCAGGCAGCACTGAGGGTAGCATCTGCCTACCGAACAGTGTCCGAGCCCGCCGTCCTGGTGATTGCTGGAGTCATCCCCGTCAAACTTTTGGCGACGGAGAGAAAGGCAATTTACCGGCCCTGTGGGGAGGACGAGGCACGAACAGAGGAACGCACCCGCACCTACCAGCTGTGGCAGGAGGGCTGGGAACAGGAGACACGGGGACTCTGGACCAGGCGACTGATACAGCAAGTCCAACCTTGGGTGGATCGGCGGCACGGAGAGGTGGACTTCTACCTCACCCAATTTCTGACGGGACACGGCTTTTTCCGGTCGTACCTGTTCAGGATGGGCAAAGCCGTGTCACCCGACTGCATATACTGCCCAGGCATTCTCGATGACGTGGAACATACATTTTTCCACTGCCAGCGCTGGGAAAGGCCCCGCCTGGAGGCTCAACAGTTAGTAGGACTGCTGTCGGTGGACACGGTCATACCGATTATAACGGAGGGTGAGGACAATTGGACCTGTGTGTCACATTATATCCAGGGTATTCTCCGTGCCAAGAAGATCGACCTTGACCGGGATGCGGTGTAGGTCATTAAGAATCTAAATGCCAGAAACGGTGCGAGCCCTGAGGGCTTAGGTCACATGTTGGCCTGACTTGAAGTAATGTGACAAACAATTCCAGGTCTGTGTCCAACAGAGTAGAGGGGGTTTTTTAGTGAGTAGTCTGATAATTTTCAGGAGTCTCACACTACAGGCTGGCTACCTGTGTGCGTTAAAGCATTTTCCCTCCTCTACCTAAGAAAAAAAAAAAAAAAATTGACTATATAAACTTTAACACTAGCTTAGTCAATGGTAATAGGCTACTGGCTACTGGTGCTACCGCTGATTGCTGATTGATGCCTGTGTAACGTTAGTGGCTAGCAGACAATTTGGCAACTAACTATGGGACATCAGGAAATCATCTGTTTCCCAGTCCTTGCTCGCACGCTAAATGCTCCCGCCTTGGCCCTAGCATGTCAACAGCTGACTGCTGTAAAAATATGATCATGCGTACAACTTTCCATAGCGTAATTTTGTTTTATTCGTTGTGCTATATTGTCCACAAAGTTTATCTATGAGGAAATTAATAATCCTACTGCCATCGCTTATTAAGTTTAATAAAAACTACATTGATGTCTGTATGACATTGCGTGTTTTAAGGACAGAATGCACGATTAAATTAATTTTTTTTCAGGGTCCAAGAGGGGGCTTTAGCCCCTGTAGCCCCCCCCCCCCCTTGGAACCGCCACTGACTGGGTCGGGATGCTAATTTAGTGGTTTTGACCAAGAACTAAGCTTATCGCAACACAACTTAAATTGCCTATTCATATTTGACGAAGACAATTTCCAATAATTCAATCAGGGAAGCCTTATTATCATCATTAATCAAAAGACCAAAGCTACCTTAGTAAACCAATATGTATTCACAAACATGTTTGCTGCCTTTAGCAGAGTTAAACCTCTGGAGTCATTCAAATTATTTATTGAAAATAACACCAACAAAAGCAATAAACTGTTTATCACACAAAAAATACGTTGTACTGACCTATTCTGAGACATCAGGGAATAAAATAACATGTTAAAAAAGCGCTCAGATTTTGTAGCCCAGTGGCAATGGGTGGTGCTAGCATATTTTTTTATGATTCATATTCTAAATGTATTGGAATTTATTTTGTTTAATTTTTCCTGCTTTTTTTGTTTAACCAACATGTATGGTCGCCATTTCATTGAAAAGTATTAAAGTATGGTTACTTAGCAACCCATAAGGCAAATATTATATAGTTTTGACTTTCAATTTCATTTTTTTACATAATTAGATTTTTGTTGGCAGTTTTAATTGCATTAAAACAGTTTTTAGGCAAGAAATTAATTATTTACAACATTTGAAAGAAATCGCAAAAAGCCGTTTTTGAGTCGTTGAACAAGCAAACATTGCTCATATAAGAGTATAGGATTCACAGTGTAAATAGCAACAATCATGTTAAAAATACTGGATTTTTTGAAATTGAGGTGAAATTTTGTGGGAATAGGGCCAAAATACTATGGATTAACATACGTCTATTTTTATTTTGAAACTTTTCTAGTAATCCACCCCATTGGCTTCCGAATTTCCATGCTATTCTTATGAATAAACTAATTATTGGAATTACCATTATAGTTTGTTCTAAAATTTAGGCTGTTTGGTTTGTAATGGGGTTCCCTATTACTTTAAATGCTTTATCAATGTTGCAGCTGATTTACGTTTGTAAAAATGTTTGCTGATTTACTTTTTGAATCCTTTTTTTATCAGCAGAAAGTAGAATTAATTAGAAGTAATTCTATAAAAACCCCTGTCGCAGCGAACCAGCAGAATAAGCGAATTTCTATTTATCTGGTGCACAATTAGATAAATTAGATTTTTAATTTAATAATCACAATTTCTTGTGCTTATTTTTGAGCCTATTTTAATTTATAAAGGGATTCTACACATCTACAGGAAAATATCTTTCTAACAGTATGCGTTGATTTCCCCTGAGATGCACACAAGCTGAGAAAAAAGATTTTTAAAGAAAAATGCTTGCCTATTAATATATAGGTAGATAGATTTAACCCTATATCAGGCCCATGTTGAATTTGTAGATTAAAAACCTTGGATAATGTCTTCGTGCATATATTTTAATTTATAAAGGGATTCTACACATCTACAGGAAAATATCTTTCTAACAGTATGCGTTGATTTCCCCTGAGATGCACACAAGCTGAGAAAAAAGATTTTTAAAGAAAAATGCTTGCCTATTAATATATAGGTGGATAGATTTAATCCTATATCAGGCCCATGTTGAATTTCTAGATTAAAAACCTCGGATAATGTCTTCGTGCATAACCTCACAATGCCGAAAATTGAATATGTACCTTAGTGCATAAACTCATGTATCAGAAACAAATAACTACATTTTTTTAATTATGCCTACATTGCTGGGTTTTGCCTGTAACTACAGTTCTACAGATTGTTGGAAGTTGTATGATAGTAGATTGCGGGAATCAGCTTTTAGCTTTTACCAGTAATCACAGAAGAGAGTTGTTCATCAATGGTGCTTGGTAAAAAATATATTTTTAAGACATACTGCAGAAAGACAGTTATAACTGTATCCATTCTATATTAAATTAAGATAAGCTAATCTAAACTAACATAACCAAACCTAACTGTCAATTTTTAAAATCCCATTAGTGTATCCAATGTTGAATACTTACACAGTGTCTAATCTGTATGAACCCTTGAATGTGCCTTCAAATTACTTTTGGATTGACAAGACTTTCCACATGTATTGCAATTGTGTGATCTCTCTTCTGTATGAATCAAAGCATGTCGATTCAAATTTCCTTTGTGTGCAAATGATTTACCACACGTGGTGCACTTATATAATTTCTCTCCTGTATGAAGAAGTGCATGTTCTTTTAAATATCCTTTGCGTGCAAAGGATTTTCCACATTTGGTGCACTTATATGGTTTCTCTTCTGTATGAATCAATGCATGTCGTTTCAAATCCCCTTTGTGTGCAAAGGATTTTCCACACGTGGTACACTTATATGGCCTCTCTCCTGTATGATTCAATGCATGTTTTGCCAAATTTCCTTTGGTGGCAAATGATTTTCCACACGTGGTGCACTTGTATAATTTCTCTCCTGTATGAAGAAGTGCATGTTCTTTCAAATATCCTTTGCGTGCAAAGGATTTTCCACATTTGGTGCAATTATATGGTTTCTCCCCTGTATGAATCAATGCATGTCGTTTCAAATGTCCTTTTTGTGCAAAGGATTTTCCACACATGTTGCACTGATGTCTCTCTCCTGTATGAATCAATGCATGTCGATTTAATTGTTCTTTGAGTGCAAAAAATTTTCCACACGTGTTACACTTATATGGTTTGGTTCCTGCATGAAAAAGTGCATGTCGATTCAAAATTCCTTTGTGTATAAAGGATTTTCCACACATGTTGCACTTATATGGTTTCTCTTCTGTATGAATCAATGCATGTCGTTTTAAATCCCCTTTGTGTGCAAAGAATTTTCCACATGTACCGGTAGTGCACTTATGAGGTCTTTCTCCTGTATGACTCAATGCATGTAGTTTCAAATACCCTTTTTGTGCAAAGGATTTTCCACATGTGGTACACTTATATGGCCTCTCTCCTGTATGTATCAATGCATGTAGTTTCAAAGTCCCTTTTTGTGCAAAGGATTTTCCACATGTGTTGCACTTATATGGCCTTTCTCCTGTATGAATCAATGCATGTGTCCTTAGGGTGTATTTATTTGATAAGGATTTTCCACAGGTGGTGCAATTGTAAAAGGAATACTTCCTAGAATGTTCCAACAAATGAATCTTTACATTACCTTGAGTGACAAAGGTTTTCTCACATAATAAACATTTGAAGGGACGCTCACCCGTGTGTAACAATATGTGATTCTTCATTACTGCTTTTCTTGAACAATGTTTTCCACATATTGGACACTTACAAGGAAGCTCTTTAGTATGCTTTAACATTTGGAATTTCTGTCTTTGTAAAACTTATCAGACAAGCAAGCAACTAATCAGTTGGCCTTTGTTGTCTATTTAAATATATCCTTTGTTTGTAGGAATGGTTAAATTTTACAATCAAGTGGATTTCAACCTCATAAAACTTAAAATCAAGTCTTGCTCAGATCTTGTATATGTATTACATATTTTGCAACATACTTGGGGTTTTATAATTTGGTTTCTCTTGCCTTTTACGTTCCATCATACTATGTATAATTCATAAACAAAATAATCAGATTTTTATTGTGATCACGCCTTAAGATATAATTGATATTTACTTTAAAGTCTAGATTTAAAGAGTGAATCACATACTTTCATCAGTTGTTCGCAGTGTAGGCATCATTTCTCCTTTTTATCAGTTGTTTTCAAAGCATTGTCCGAGATTATCTTAATTTGTTTTCTTGCAGTACACTGAGGCTCTTCTTTCTTACGTCTCGTCTGGATAATCTATTGTAAGTTCTGAAAAAGATTATACTTTGTTAAACATATTTTTATAAATTTATTAAGGATTAGCTGTTTGCCCGTTCTACGTACGGGAATCTTGTAGTAAGATGAAACCTTATATTTAGAAGTGGAGTTGGTTAGCATATTTAATGTGCATTTTTCCAGATATGCTGGCAAAACTATTACTGTTTAGGAATATATATAAACCATCGCAAATACAATATCTGACAAATTCAAAGCCAAAACGAATGCTTCACAATTAAATGTCCCCCGATCGTGTTAGTCCATATTTTATATCTAATGATAAAAAGAATTGCTTTATAGATCTATGAGGCATAGCCCTAAGGTAGGCCTGTAATTGAAAGTTACTTTTCACACGGGTTAAAAGTTAAAATACAACTTCAACCTCACTACTGCACACTTTATTCGTGTTGAAATTTTCATTAACAAAGGTACTCTTAACTTTTCCACAAAACACTGAGGAATAAGGACATTAATGGGTTACCAACAGACATACACACACAAATGGGCCGGTCAAAGTCAAAGTGGTGTAAGTCAAAAATCATAGTTTTGAGATAAACGGTTTTATTTACAAAATTGTCGTACGTCAAAGTAGTTTGGATTTTGGAGGAAATTTTTTGACACATGGTACAGACCATATGTTATTACCTCCCTAAATTAAGAATGTACAAAAATAATTGTTTATTTAAAATTTATTAGTGTTTAAAAAAACTTACACCACTTTGCCTTAAATAATTTGTGCATTTTGATATTCATTCTCATTAAAGTATATGTTCACAACAATGGTCTAAGTCAGACTTACACCACTTTACCTGAAAGGGTGACTTAGTTCACTTTTACTTTTAAATCTTTGTGCTTATGAATTTTAAAAAAATAGATGAAAAAATATGACTTACACCATTTTGCTAAAAAAATAAAATGGATCATAGTAATTGAGTTTAATGAGCAATAAAAGTCAATATTGTTACAAAGATTTTTTTATTAACACAATTTGTTACTAAAATTTAAAATTGTCCTCAAAGTGCTTCATAGAAATGTCCTCAATTATTTTCGATATGTTATATACCATCGTCCTCTTCGTCGTTCACTTGTTCTAGAGGACCAATGTCCTCGACACTATCACTGGTAATCAAACACTGGTAATAAGCATGATAAATTGGTGGTATGTAGGGCAACAGCTCTGTCATGTTTTGTTTTTTCCCTTTGTCACTGGTAGAGGTGTTTCATAGAGGCAAGGCCAATTAGACCAGATACCTGTTCAGAGAAATAAGGCTTTTTCTTTTTATGATTTGACCAGACAAGAGAAACACTGTTAAAAGGTACATCTTCTTGTATTGCTTCCTTATAGAACAGTTTGAAAGGTTCTTCCCTTAAAAACCTTATCCATTGAGTTTTTAACCAACTAAATTTGCCTTTATCCTCATTTTTAGTTCTCTGGGTCACTGCATTACATAGCTTTTGCTGATTTAAACTCCTCACGTGTCATAGAAGTTACATGGAATTTGTTTTTGGTTTGTTTTTGGAAGTTGTGTGACCAGACCAGCTGTAAGTAACTAGTTCCAAACACAGTGGTGTAAGTCAGACTTGGGCCACTTTGCTTACTTCACATAAGTCATGTGTTTATACCAAAAAAGAGACATAATGTTGTAAGGCATAGTGGAGTAAGTCAGACTTGGATCACTTTGCTTTGAAACAGTTTCATACCAACACAATGTGGAACAGTAAAGTGCTGCCTCCTAGTGACGCTAGAAATGAACTATGACTTAGCTCATTGTGCCAAAAGATGAATCAGTGAACAAGGAATCAAAATATGGACTTGACTCATTTTTGCCAAAAATTGACTTACACCACTTTGACTTTGACCGGCCCAAATACAGAATTGAATTAGGGGATTTGCTACGCTTTAACCAAAGCAAATTACAAATAAATAATTATTTGAAAGTTTTGATAGTGTCATCAAATTTTATGATAATTGTTTTTAGGCCTAATCAAACTATAAAATTGTTGTAAATCCGTTGGCAAATATATAAATAAGTAAATAAATATACACTCCACAAAACATTTATACGTTATGTCACAATCTTGTTCTATTACTCTATTCTAAATAGTCAGCTGTTGGTAAATATTAAATAGAAAACACTTCTTATTGTTACTTTTTGAAAAACATTACACTACAAACATATATGTTGTTAAAATAAAGAGATATAATTTACAATGTGCGTGTATTCAATAGTACGGTCACAACAATTTTTGGCGACGAGGATGGGATCACCTCTTGTTGTAATACCCAAACCTAACGGCGGAATCCGCCTATGCGTTGACTACAAGTGTGGGGTTAACAGCAGATTAGTACAATCAAATCATCCAATATGTCGCATCGATGACGTGCTCAACAGCCTGAGAAACTCTAAGTACTTTTGTAAACTTGATTTATTTAAAGCTTATTTACACCTGCAAGTTGATGAAGACAGTAGCAAAATTGAAACTATTTCAACACACAGAGGTACATACAGGATCCACAGACTCAGTTTTGGAATAAAAACTGCTCCAGCCGAATTCAATCGGATCATATCTCAAATCCTCATGGGACTAAAGAAAACAGAAGCCTATTTTGACGATCATTGTTCATGGAAACACATTCGATGAGTGCCTTCAAAACCTACAAGCATGTCTTCAACGACTGTCCGACTACAACTTGCATGTAAACAGAAATAAATGCACTTTTATGACTGAAAAAGTGGAATACCTTGGTCATGTTGTTCAACATAACAAAATCAGCAAGTCTCCATCCAAAGTTCAAGCGATTCAAGATATGCCACGTCCACACAATGTCGAGGAACTCAAAAGATTTTTGGGTTTGGTTACATACTACTCAAGATTTGTACCAGATTTTTCTACAATGACATTTCCACTCAGATGTCTACTGAAGAAATCAGAACCATGGATGTGGACAGCTACTTGTGAATCTGCATTTCTAAAACTCAAATCGGAACTCTGCAGTGACAGAGTGATAATTCCATTCGACTCTAACCTAAACCTCATCCTGACAACTGATGCTAGTCCTACAGGTGTCGCAGCTGTACTAAGTCATGAAATCGAAGGAGTAGAACGTCCGATAGCATACGCGTCTCGTTCTTTGAATCCGAGTGAAATGAACTATAGTCAACTTGATTGAGAGGCATTGGCGATAATCTTTGGTGTGAACCATTTCTACAACTACCTACTTGGCAAGAAGTTCATTTTAGTTACAGACAACGAACCATTGACAAGGATTTTTCACCAAAATAAAGCTCTACCACAGATGACGTCAGCTCACCTACTGCGATATGCTTCATTCCTCTCCGGATTTGATTACATTGTTCGATTCAAGAAGGGAAGTAGCAATCAAAATGTAGATTGTTTATCAAGATCTCCAGTCAAAACATGCAGTAGTTCAACAGATCAACAAATCGGGGAAGAAGTGAACCAGCTTTATTCTCAATCACTATTTCAGGTATCCAACTGTGAAATAACTTCAAAGACAATCAAAGAAGAAACCGCAAAAGACCATGAAATGAATGGAATAGCCTTCCATTGCCTTCGACAAATTGCAATTTTTGAAAAATCATATAAAAAAAAGGATGAGACATTCAAAGCTAAAACTGTTTGGAGAAGTACTGCTATATAAGGACTACATCTGAAAAAATATTTAAAGGTGAGTTTTAATTTCTTCTTTAAAATTTTTAACTTCAAAAATGAGAATTTATCTTCCCAAAACGTTAACGTTTATAATTTTTTTTAAATTCACTATTAAGTAGATGTAAGTACTGTATTAATTAAGCTTAAAATATAGTAAATTTAATGCTCTTTAAGATGGTTCTTGTTATAACTGAATATCTTTGAAAATGAATGAGATACAGACTTAAACGCAAACCTTTGCAAAACGCAAAATCGGCTGTTGCGACCAAACAAAATGGCTGCCAAAAAAAAACTGAACATAAAAAAAATTAATGACTAACAGTTTTCAACTCTCTGAACATAGTACAATCTTGGGTAAAAAAATAAAAAAAAATAGTCAGCAACAGTCATTGGTTGATTTCATATGGATTGACCCATTACTATGTTATTCGCATTATTTGTTGCCAATAAAGCTGCACGACCATATAAATGTGGAGGCCCCTAACAGTTCAAGAATAAAAGCCAACTTCACTTCAAGTATATTCCACTACACCTAACATTCCGTAGAGAGATTATAGACAACTTTATGAAACTGATAAGGCTGAGACAACTAACTGACATCCTCCATGTCAAGGAGTTCCAGCTTTAACAGTAACCCCACAACCAATTTCTCAACACTGTGCTAGAGTGTTATTCATTGGCACAGAAGTACGATATGAACTGACGCGGCGTGACAAAGGAAAATTCAAACTTACACTGTAACGCATATACCTCCCTTTGAAGTTAAAACGTGTCTTCCCAACAGATTAAAAAAAAAAATAAAATCATAGATTAATCTGCATTACACTGCATGGAAGTGTTTAACTACAAAAGATCCGCCAATACGATTTTAATACTATTTATGGTTCTTCCAAAAGAAGAGATACCAGATAGCATACTAACAACTCCGATGACGTACAGTATGGAAAATATTTTATTCATTGAATGATCAACCATATTTGGTTAGGTACTAATGCAATTAATATCATTATTGTTTTTACACTTATTAATCTTTAAACAATGCTAAATGCTCAAAACATGTATAATTTCACTCAATTTAGCGCAGGTGGATTAATTAGCGTAAGCCTTGAAAGTAACCGTCGATATTGATGGGTTTCACCTAGTTTATTATATATATATATATATTTATATATAGACTAGCTGTACCCGTGGGCTTTGCCCCGTTTCACTTCATAAGTGAGCTCGTTCGCATGGCTCAACCACGTCCTGGTTGAAGTTCGTTCGCTATGCTCACTCACCTTTAGGTTGGAGCTCTTTCGCTGCGCTCACTTGCCTTC